AAAATGTGGTCCATCTGTGCGAGGGAATGTTATTCATCCTTAAAAAGGAAGAAGAATCTGACACATGCTACAACACGGGTGAACCTTGAGAACGTTGTATTCAGTGAGAGAAGCCAGAGACGAAAGGTCACGTGTGGTGTGATTCCGTGTATATGAAATGTCCAGAACAGGCGAATCTCAGAGACAGAAGGCCGATCCGCGGTTGCCAGGGGCTGGGGGAGCGGGGTCGGGGGATGAGAGCTAAGGGTGCAGGGCTTCTCGGGCTGATGGGCTCTGCGGTTGACTGTAGAGATGGATGCACAACAGTGGATGTACTAAACGTCATTGAATTGTACACTTTAAATGGGTGAATCGCACGGTACGTGAGTTATATCTCAATAAAGCCGAGGGAGGGGGAACGGGAGAGAAGGGGAGCAGGCCCAGGCTGGCGCGGCCTGCTGGGCCGAGCCGAGGCACCTTGGGAACCACGCAGGGCTGGGATGACCACGTGCAGGATGACGCAGGCGTGGGTGGTGGCTGTGGAAGGAGGGGGAGGGCCGGGATCTGGTGGGACTGTGAACCACGACGATAAATACTGAAGAAGGGATTGCTAACTGACCCCCAGAATCCTTCCTTCCCTGCTCCATTCAATACCAGGGCCCACGGCTAACTGGCTGGGAACCACATTTCCCGGCGACTCCGTGCTGCACTGCCTGTGGGTCGCATCCTGCATACTTAGAAGGAAGCTACTGCCTCCTCTTCTCTCTCCTCTTCTGGGGCAGAAGCAGGAATGGGGCGCAGGGAGCCAGTGGACCAGGGGCCAAGGCCAGGCAGGCTGGTGGAGCCTCGCGGCTGCCCACCTGTGAAGGTTTACCTGTGAGAGCTAACCCACTCTCTAGTCTGAGCCGCTGCGCCCGGGGGCTCCTGCTGCAGGAGCTCAGCCTGTGCCTGGTCTGCGTAAAGACAGCAGCCACTGGGGATGAGTGAGCAGGTTCGGGCCGGCCCTGACAGTAAGGGGTGTGTGGCCATCTCCTTTTCCCCCCTGCCCCAGTGGTGTCCGGTCCCCTCTACTGCACCGCGGGGGCCACGCCTAGGAAGGCAGCGCCACAGGACCCAACAGGCCTGCGAGAGAGACACGCACTCCTCTGGGTCTGGCAGCTGTCGCAGCAGAAAATCTTTATTGTGCACATTTTAAAGGTCGTATTTGTAATTTCTCGCCTCGCTGGACTTTCCTTTTCTTTAATTTGACCCCGGCGTGAATTCTGCCCTCCTCGACTAATGCCCAGAAGCAGAATTCCTCCTGCAGCTGTCCACCTGTGGTTTATGAGCAAGACTCTGAAAGTGGCCTCCTCTGTTAAACCCCACATTCCGCGCACGGTATCCTGGGGGCTTCCTTCCTGTATGTACTCGCTGCTCACCTCTTAGGCGTTCATTCTGGACGTGCCAGAGCTGGGACGTGCCCCCTGTGCGCCAGCCCCAGGCCGGGGGACTCACCAAGCGTTGGCCGGGCCTCTGTCCTTTTCCTGGGATGTGGGTCATTTCTTTCCCTAGAGAAGGTACAAGTTCATGCTGGGGAGACGCACGGAGCCTTGACCACAAGGGAGTGCAGGACCCTCTGTGACTCGTGACTCCTGGGGGAGGTCCCCAGGATACTGAGAGCAGTCAAATGAGGCCGTCCGTCAACTGGAACACAGACCCCGAAGACCAGAGCGTCACCCTCCACAGACCCTGCAGCGAGCAGCCTCTGCGGGTGCTGCTTCCTCGTGGGAGGGGAGAATCACAGGCTCCACACCTGGGTGCAGGCTTCCCCGTGAGGCTCGGAGTCTGAGAAGAAGCATCTGGAACAACAGTGGACCAGAGCTGTGGTGGACGGAATTCTCCAGATTCCGGGTAGAAGGACAGAGGTGCGTTGTTCTACTGGGCTGTTCAGGGCCCGGAGAACCAGGGCGTGGAAGTAACCCGTGATTGGGAATAAGATGAAGTGTGTGTGCGTCCTGGGCCGCGTCACGAGGTCCCACAGGTGGGAAGCTTAAACCTCAAGATTTACTGTCTCCAGTCCTGAGGCTGGATGTCCGAGATCCAGATGTGGGCAGGGCTGGTTCCTCCTGAGGCCTCTTTCCTGGGTGTGTAGATGGCCGTCTTCTCCCTGTGTCCTCAGGTGGTCGTCCCTCTGTGTGTGTCTGTGTCCTGATCTCCTTTTATAAGGACGCCAGTCATGCTGGATTAGGACCCACCCTAGTGACCTCATTTAGCTCAATTACCTCTTTAAAACCCTATCTCCAAATAAGGTCACATTCTCAGTTCCTGGGGTTAGGACTCTGACATATGAATTTGTGGGGACACAATTCACACGACATAAGACATTTGGTACAAAAACAGTGAGCCCCATGGAACCCTGCGTGCTGACACAAGGGAGACCGAGCTGGCCGAGAGATGGGCGGGCCCTCTGCCGCTCTGCCAGGGACGGCTTTACCAAAGCCCTGGAGAGGCAGGGACACTTCACGGACATCCCGAGCGGCGGCCCCGTACTGAAATGCTGCGGAAGAGAAGCAGGGTGCTGCACCCCCTTGGCCGTGAGCGTGGAGAGTCTGAGGCAACAGGGCACCTGAAAAGAGCGTCTTTGCCTAACGCTCGTAGAGGGGAGGGCAGAGAGCCGCTGTCTGAGACTCCTTGGACCAAGTCCGTGAACTCGGTCCCTCCTGCAGTCCCTGCTCGGAGGGCCACCCTCCTGGTGCAGCTGGCTGCCCGTCTGCGCACAGCCCGGGTCACTGCTCCACTCCTGCCTCTCCCGGCTGCCAGGGCTTCCCTCGCAATCACTTCCAGAACGAGCGTCCAGGCCAGTCCTGCGCCAGGGATGTGAGCCTCTGCGGCCTGGGAGGCCCTTGGCAGGCTTCCGCTGGTCACTGCCTGTGGTCTGGCTCTCACGGCAGCCGTGGCCAACGGCAGGATTCCCAACAAGCAAGCGCTGAGGAAGGAAATGAGACAAGACGCGTTCTTCTCGGGAATGCGCCACCGTCCCGTGAGAAAGAACCCACCATGTTACTGCACCAAGTTCGTTTTGCCTGCCGCCCAGAAAGCCAATCAACGAGGCGACGAGATTGCAGAGAGAGAGGGTTTAATCACAGGGCAGCCGCGTGAGGAAACGGGAGAACGAGGCTCAAATCTGCTTCCCCGAAAACAGGGACTCAAGGATATTTATTTGGAAGGGGGCAAGGTGGTCTGAAATGTGGAGATAGATGATTGGAGGTGAGGAGAGGTGAGGTAATTGATGATCTGCCCAAGCGTAGTCAGGCTTCTTCATAGGATGCATGTTCACAAAATGGCGGTGTTGGCATGACCCGAGGGTGGAGTTTTTAGCTTCTTGACTTCAAAAGGTCACGTATCAGACATCTGTGTGGGCCCAGTTGATGGGTTGGTGGTCTCAACCGGCCTGAAGTGGACAAGGGTTCAAATTCCTGAAAAACAGCTCAAACATCCATTACTCTGGTGACCCAGGCTTCAAGGAGATGTTATCTCTAGGAATCTAGTGGGAGTCAGATAGCATATTGCCTAAACAGCACAGTTAACAATGGGCAGGTAAACAGCTAAAAGCTATAGTCAGTAAAGGCAAAAAGGAAAAAAACTTTAGTCTTTAGTCCCCAGCTACTGAATCATCAATGGCGCCCTTTTTGCCGGTGTCACCTAGAACCCTCGTTTTATATTTAGAATGCCTCTCGTGGTGCTGTCCCAGTTTCTGCTGCTGAAGTCTGCCCCAGTTGCGTCACTGCCTCCCTGCCACAGACCCCACAGTGTGAGCCATCGTGTTACCTAGACGGGCCTTGAAAGTGTGCCACTTGGCCCCCAGGACAGTACCGGGTGCATATTAAGGTGTTTTTGTTACTTTTGTGGAACCAGAGAGAGAGCAGGCAGTCAAAAGAGATCAAATCGTGGGTCTCCAATGGTGCCGATTTGATCCCCTGCCCCCTCCAGTGGCTCTAAGGCTTGGGTGTTATGCCTCCACCATGGGCTGGTGTGCTAAGGATTTCTTCCATGGGAAACCCACCCACAGCAATGGGGCACAGGGCGCTGTGTCTGAGAGGTCTCCAGTGGTATGTTGTTTCTTGTTTTCTCTCCTTTGTTTTCATTATGATACAATACACATAACACAAAATTCACCATTTTTAAATGTACAGTTCAGGGGCATTAAGCACATTCACAGTGTTGTGCAACCATCCTCACCACCGTCTCCAGAACCTTCCATCTTCCCAAACTGAAACTCTGTCCCCAGTAAACACTAACTCCCCCTCCTCCAGCCCCTGGCCCCTCCATCCTACTTTCTGTCTCTGTGGATTTGACGACTCTGGAGACCTCCTGGAAGTGGGATCACACAGGATCTGTCCTTCTGTGACTGGCTTACTTCACTCAGCGTGATGTCCTCAAGGGTCATCCACATTGTGGGCGTCAGGACTCCTTCCTTTTTAAGGTAAGTGATGTCCCATTGTGTGGGTGGAGCACATCTTGTTTATCCTTGTTTTGCTCCAAATGAGCCTCTTATCTATGGCAAATGTGACCTGAGGGGTGTGAAGTGGGCATTAGATGGAAGGGCAGTGCTCCTGTGCTAGGTGGTCTTCCCTAAAGGGTTTCATCCACGGGCAGTTTTCCCTACTGAGCCCAACTCCCACCATGATGCAGGGGAGGGCAGCCGACCCACAGCCACGGGAAGCGCTGTGCCAGATGCCGAGCTGGCCAGCTGGCTCCCCCAGTGGCGAGTCCATCTCCCCAGTTCCAGAGGGAGAGCCACCCCAGTGGGCCGGGAGGACAGAGCTTGGAGGCAAAGAGGATTCTTCTCCAGCCTTAACATCTGATGGAATTTGCCCTGCAGGGTTTAGGACTGCTGGGGCCTGTGCCCTTTGCTTCTTTCCACTTTCTTCCTCTTGGAATGGAGGGTCTGTCCCATGCCCGTCCCACCACCGCATCTTGGAAGCACATGACGTGGTGTCTGGCCTCACAGGTTCACAGCTGGGGGAGAGGGTTGCCCCGGGATGGTCGTCTCACCCCGAGAACCCCGAGTCTCACCTACTCCCGATGTAGATGAGATTTGGGTGAGCTTTTGGATTTGGAACTGATGCTGGAACGGGGAAGGACCTTGGTGATGTCCGGGGTGGGGGCGGGGGTGAAGGTATTCTGCTTCCAGAAGGACCTGAATGCTGGCGCGGCACGGCGTTTCCCACTCTGCAGGGGCCTCAGCCCAAGGTGCTGGCTGGCGTTTAGAGGCTGCTCCTGGCACTTTCCTCTCGGGGGCCCAGGCTTTCCCAGGGCAGCAGTGATGCTAAGATGCCCTCTCCTCCATTGTGCAGAAAGCAGAGAGGCGTCCTGCCCTGTGCTTCCCAGGAGCCCGGCCTCTTACGTCCCGTGGAAGGCTGTCTCTCACTGTCAGTTTCTTGGTGTCCCCGGGCCCCGCCCCCACTCCCGGGGTCTGACCTGACCAGCCTGTCTGCAGGCGGGTCTTCTGTTACTCCAGACCTCATGGCCCCCCAGGCGCCCCCCGCACGTGAACCCAGAGTGTCCAATCCGACTCAGGACCCCGTGCCCACCTCAAACCACCCCCTCCTATGTCCCAGCCAAGGCTACAGGACGCAGGGAGCCCAGAATCAGGGCATGTGTGAGACGAGAGAGACGAAGGAGTTAAACCTTAAGGTCAATGCAGGCAGAGTGACAGCTGTCACAGCTCAGATCACCCAAGGGCTGAGGGGCTCCCTGTCCAGCAAGGCTGAGCAGGAGTGCACTTAGGGACAGTGTGACATTTCCAAGGGAAAACATGTGTGTGTGTGTGTGTGTGTGTGTGTGTGTGTGTGTGTGTGTTTCCAGGTGTCAGAAACCCTGACCCAAGGACTCGAGGTGCTCGGGGTCAGGGTGCCCCACCTCTGGGAGGTGTGGCAGGTTATTGGTGGTCCCAAAATATGTGTCCACGGCCTAACCCCCAGAGCCTGTGGGTGACCTTATTTGGGAAAAGGGTCTTTGCAGCTGTAGCTAAGTTAAGGATGTCAGGAGGAGGGCGTCCTGGATGACCTGGGTGGGCCCAATGACAAGTGTCCAGGGAAGAGACAGAAGAGACAGAGAGAGAGAAGGAGGCCACGTGAAGATGAGGCAGAGGTTGGGGTGATGTGGCCACAAGCTCAGGAACGCTTCAAGCCCCCAAAAGCTGGAAGAGGCAGGAAAGACACTCCGCTGGAGCCTCTGGAGGGAGCAGGGCCCTGTGACACCTGGATGTCGGACTCCGGCCTCCAGGACTGTGAGAATAAACATGTGTGATGGGAGCCCCCATCCCAAGCGTGTCCCCAAAGGGGCCGACTGGCCATAACGACGATGATCTGACGGACATGGGATTATCCACGCGTGGGTCTGTCTGCAGGGCAAGGGTGAGCCCATCCGGAATCCCCGGTAGTCGGCTGCCCTCTGTCCACTTGGTGGGTCCTGGTTCTCCTCACCAGTTTCATGATAATCCCAGGGCTCACATTTCCTGACCACGTGCCCGGGTCTCCTAAGACGCCGGACCAAAATGACTTCTGGTGTGTGACCTTTACGGGTCCCGTGGGTAGATATTCTCTCGTTTTCACGGGTGAAAAATCGAGGTCTGAAGAGCCCCCCCGACCCCGATTGGCGCCAGGTCATGCAGCGGGTGGTGCAGAGCCCGGGTCAGCACCGGTTTGTCTCCTTTTTCAGTGAAATAGTAGGAGACAGACGGTGGCACAAGGAGCTCCCGGTGACCGGGCTGGCCGCCGCCGTGTTCCCCACGCCTGCTGTAGATCTTTGTTTCTTTATAAGAGATTGAACCTTTCAGGTTTGGGGCAGCCTTCCCAGAACCTAGCTCCTGTCCCTCTCCCTGGTTCTCTGTTTCCTTGTCCCACCCGTGGATTCGTGGGGTTTTGTGCTGTAACCTCTGGGGGTCCCAGGTGCAGAGCGGGGTCGGTCATCCTTCTCACTTTCCCCATCACTGGCGAGTGGCCATCTCCTGTCTGTACTTCCATCTCTCGTCCCTCGTGGACTCCCCAAAGCCCTGATGTACCTGCTAAGCTTGTTTGGAGCACGGGGAACACGCCCCCTACTGTGCACGTGCCTTTGTGAAGCGTGTGGTGTTCTGTGTTTCTTTAAACCTCTTCACGGAGATATAACTCACATAGACTGAGCTGCACACGTTTAAAGTGGTAAGTTTTGACTTTTGCAAATGACCCGGAAAGCATCGCCACAATCAAGATAATGAATGTGTCACCCCCCAAAAGTTTCCTGTGCCCCTTTGTCGTCCTCCCCCACATCTCTCTCCACCCTCTCTCTGCCCGCCCCTCCCCACGGATCCCCTTTATGACGTCACAGGTCAGCTTGCATTTTCCAGAATTTTAAGCATGTGGAACCATACAGTACGCACTCCTTTACGTCTGGCTTCTTTCACTCAGCAAAATTATTTTGAGATTCATGCGTGTTGTTGTCTGTGGCAAGACCCCATTCCTTCGGTCGCTGGGTAGCATCCCGTTGGGTGGATATACCCCCATCTGTCTGTGCGCAGGTTGATGGACATTCGAGTGGTCTCCAGTGTCAGATCATTACAATTCAAGCCGCTGTGAGCATTCTGTGTAGGACGTGTGCTTTCATTGTCTTAGGGAAAGACCCAGGAGTGGAATCATTTGGCAGGCATACGTTTATTCTCTTAAGGAACTCAATAACAAGGAATCAAAACCTTTTGAGAAACTGCTAACCTGCCTTCCAGAGGGGTCACACCATTTCACCATCTTGCCAGCGTTGCATGAGGGTCCCAGCTCTCCCACTTCCTCACTGGTACTTGGTAAGGTCGGTCTTTTTCATTTCAGCATCCTAATCGTGTGTAGTGGCATGTCATTGCGGTTTTAATTTGCATTTCCCTAAAGCCTAATATGTTGGACATCTTTTAACGTGCTTATTTGCCATCCATATATCTTCTTTGATGAGGTATCTGTTCAAATCTTTTGCCCATTTTTAATTGGGTGGTTTGTTTTCTTGTTACTGAGTTTGAAGGGTTCTTGACATATCCTGCATACAAATCCTTTATCAGATATATGATTCACAGGTATTTTCTCTTGGTCTATGGTTTGTCTTTTTATTTCCTTAACAGTGTCTTTCGAAGAGCAAAATCTACTAAATTTAATGAGGTATAACTTATCATTTTTTTTCTCTCATGGATTGGGCTTTCGCTGTTGTAGCTAAGAAATCCTTACCTAAGTCAAGATTACAAAGATTTTCTCCTGTTTTCTTGAGGAAGATTTATATTTTTACATTTTACACACAGATCTGTGATTCATTCTTAGTTAATTTTTCTATATGATGCAAGATATGGATCAAGGTTAACGTTTTCGCATATGGAAACCTAATTGTATATGGATATCCAGCACTTTTGTGAAAAGACTATCCTTTCTCCAGTGAATTGCATTGGCATTTTTGTCAAAAATTAATTAACCAATTTGTAGTTTCTGGTTCGGCATGTAAGAAGCTTGAACGTCGCCACCCGTCCAAACAACAAGTGAAAAACTGAACAAAACAGGGGTGGCCCAGTGGTGTAGTGGTTAAGTTCACGTGCTCCACTTTGGCAGCCCAGAGTTTGCGGGTTCAGATCCTGGGCACAGACCTACACACTGCTCATCTAGCCATGCTGTGGTGGCGTCCCACATACAAAATGGAGGAAGATGGGCACAGATGTTAGCTCAGGGCTGATCTTCCTCACCAAAAAAAACCCACGGAAAACTGAACAAAACAAAAATCAACAACTCTTCTTTGATCCGTAGGACAAGTGAGGTCACAGGGCAAGCTGCTGCCCCCAAGTTGGAGAGAGAGACAGGTGAGCACAGGGAGTCGGGGCTCCCTGGAGCAGCTATCTCCACGGGAACCAGTGCTGGTAGGAAACCTGAACTGTAATTGCTGAGCAGCTGGAGGCTCGGTGGGGACAAGCCCGAGAGACAAAAACTCCGGGGGGACCCCGTCATAGGAGCCCCACGACATTGTGAGATTTACCTCCGGGAGCTCCATCAGGTTCTCACAGCAAATATCAGAGAGAAATCCGCTGTGCTTCTGGCAGAGGGAGGGCAAAGGACCCATTTTGAAATGGATGGAGAAATATGTATCATGCTAATACTAATCGGAAGAAAGCAGGAGTAGCTATATTAATTTCAGACAGAGAAGACTTCAGAGCAAGGAAAGTTATCAGGGAAGAAGAGGGGCATCATGTAATGATAAAGGGGTCACTTCTCCAAGAAGACATAATGATCCTGAACGTGTATGCACCTAACAACAAAGTGTCAAAATATGTGAGGCAAAAACTGACAGAACTGCAAGAGAAACAGGCGAATCCACAATTAGAGATGGAGACTTCAACAATCCTCTCTGAGAAATGGGCTATGCAGTCGGCAGAAAATCAGTCGGGACACAGTTGGACTCAACTACACCATGCATCCACGGGATTTACCCCCAAGTATTTGATTTTTTTGATGCTATTGTAAATGGTATTGTTTTTTATTTCAATTTCTGATGGTTCATTGCTAGTATGTGGAAATACAATAGATTTGTGTTTACTTCCCTTAAATTCTGCAAACTTCCAAACTCACTAATTAATTCTACTAGCTATTTTGTAGATTTTGTGGGATTTTCCACAAAGACAATCATTTTGTCTGTGACTAAATAAGGTTTAACTTGTTATTTTTAACTGGGACGCCTTTCATTTCTTTTTCCTGCCTGATTGCCCTGGCTACAGTCTCCATTACAACGTTGAATAGAAGTAGTGAGCGAGAACATCCTTGCCTTGTTCCTGATCTTACAGGAAACATTCAGTCTTTCACCATCAAGCGTTGGCTGCATGTTTTTGGTAGATACGCTGTATCGAATTGAAGGAGCTCCCTTCCCCTTCCTATTCTGCAGAAAGTTAATACCTAGGATGGAGCTTGGATTTTGTTGAATGCTTTTCTGCCTCTCTTCAGAAGGTCATCTGGTTTTTCTTTTTTACTCTGTTAATATACAAATTACATTGGATGATGATTTTCAAGTGTCAAACCACCCTTGCATTCCTGAAATAAATGCTATGTTGTCATGAGGTATTACTCTTTCTATATATTGATGAATTCTATTTGGCAAAAGTTTTGTTAAGAATTTTGTGCTGTGGCTCATGAGGAATGCTGGTTGGCAGTTTTCTTTTCTTGTAATGTCTTTGTCTGGTTTTGGTACCAGCATAATGTTGGCCTCACAGAATGAGTTGGAGTGTATTCCCTCCTCTTCTATTTTCTGGAAGAGCTGGTGTAGGATTGATGTTATTTCTTCCTCAAATATTTGTAGAATTCACCAGTGAAGCCATTTGAGCCTGGAGTTTTCTTTGTGGAAAGGTTTTTACCTTCTTTAATAGGTAAAGGACTATTCGGGTTATCAATTTCTTTGTGATTGAACTTTGATAATTCGTGCCTTGCAAGGAATTTGTCTATTTCACTGCATTTCATTTCATTTAAGTGAAGCTGTTCATAACACTCCCTTGTTATTCTTTTAATATCTCTGGAATCTGCAGTGATGCCAACTTTCTCTCTCCTCGTATTGGTGATTTGTGTCTTCTTTTTTTCCTGATCAGTCTGCCCAGAGGTTTATCAATTGTATTGATCTTCTAAAAGAATGAGCTTTTGTTTTCAACAATTTTCTCTGTTCTTCTGTTTTTCATTTCACTGATTTCCTCAATGACCTTTCTTTTCTCCTTGTTTTCTGCTTACTTAGAATTTAATTTGCTCTTCTTTTGCTCGAGTCTACAAGATGATGGCTGATGTCAGTGACTTGAGGCTTTCCCTCTTGTCTAACACCAGCCTGGGGCCCCTACCTACTGCTTTGCTGCACCCCCACAAAACACGATGTGTCTTCAGTTCAAAATACGGTCTTATTTTCCTTTTGGTTTCTTTGTTACATGGGTTATTTAGTTGTATGTTATTTAGTTTCCAAATATTTTGGAGATTTCCCAGATACCTTTCTTATTGATTATTGATTTGTTGATCTTTATTACTGATTTCTAATTTAATTCCATTTTGGTCAGAGAACATACTTTGTACGATTTGAATCATTTTAGACTGTTTTTTGGCCCAGAATATGGTCTTTCTTGGTAAATGTTCAGTGTACACTTAAGAATGTGTATTCTGCTGTTATTGGATGGAGTTTTCTATAAATACCAATCAGGTCAAGTGGTTTATAGTGTTGTTCAGTCTTTTATACCCTTCTCAGTTTCTATTTGTTCTATCGACTGTTGAGAGAAGGGTGTTGAAATCTCCAACTACAGTCGTGTACTTGTCTGTTTCTCCTTGCAGTTCTGTCAGTTTTTGCTCCAAGTATTCCAGACGTATAAACTTTTAGGGTCTTTACGTCCATTTGATATGTTTATCCCTGCATCACTGTAAGATGACCCTTTCATCCTGGCAGCGTTTGGGCAAAGCTTCGAGTATTCTACTCAGCGTCCCGTAGGTCATGTGCCTTTTTACTCTGAGTGGTGGGAACGGGAGCTACCACTGGCCCTGTGTGGGCTAGTGGTATTACTTCTGTAATTCTTTCAAGGGGTTCTTTCCCCAGCCTTGGGCAGTTTTATCACTTTGCGGTGTTCGCTGATCTGTGCTCAGCCGCAGGCTCCAGGGGGAGCCCCTGCGGACACCGTTGCTCTTTCTCTGTGCCACTCTCTCCCCTCTGGTACTCCGCCCCGCCAACTCTGCCTTCCAAGCCTCCTTGACGTCTCAGCCAAGCCTCGGCTCAGGGAGACCACTGGTCTTG